GGCCTTATTTGCAGCATGAATTCAAAAAGTAAGTTTATTTTGAATTTTAATAAACTAAACGTTCTCCAAAAAACTTTAGTGAGAAAAATTGAAAAAACTAACTACAAACATATTAACGCCAAACATCCGGTAGAATTTATAGAATATTGTAAAAATTATGGTGTATTACCAACATTATATATATATATATATATATATATATATATATAGAGAGAGAGAGAGAGAGAGAAAGAGAGAGAGAAAGAGGGAGAGAGAGAGAAAGAGAGAGAGAGAGTAGGAGGAAAACTCGAACACAGAAAAAACATATAAAGCAAAACATTTTTCAATTTTTAACAAATAAATGTTACATGATATTAGCATATAAAGTAGTTAAATCATACTTATGTATTGCATCATGATCAAATAAAGATTAAACCATCATTCAATCTATAAACTGAATTAGTTTAAATATTAAATACAGTTGAGTCTACCAAACCAAAATTATTTGCAAAAATTATATATATATATATATATATATATATATATATATAAATAAATATATTTAAACGCACATGTATAATCACATATTCACTCACACACACACACATATATATATAATCTTAGAGTGCAAATATTTAATTAACATGTAACAAAATTTTTCACATCAGAATTTAACAAATTTGCTATAAAGTTTCAAGACTCTATATAATAAAAAACGAGACTGATATCAGCCTTTCATCTATTAAATTTATAATTGCATTGCCATAACAATAATTTATATAAGTCAATCATAAACACTGTTCATCTGCATAAATACCATTAGCCAATGTATGACAATCAATCAATCTTTCTTAATCTTGAATACATTCAAAAAATTTTGCTAAATTCTTAACAATTTTAGTAAATAATATTGAAATATATAAATGAACATTCTTATTATAATATTGAATAAACTCCTATATATATATATATATGACACACACATATATACACACAAAAACATATCTCTATGCATTTAAAAAACTAACAGAAAAAATTGGATTATTGGATTAAAGACAGTTATAATAAACACCTTTTCAAGTACTTGTACTGTAACATACAAAGATGCATCAAAAGCATATGTATATCCTCTTTCCCAAAACATAATTATGATGTAACAATTTTAAGTGAATAAATACACATACACACACAAACACACACACACACATATATATATATATTCTGTATACCTGTAATTATATAATATATATATAAATATACCTGCAATTATAATACACACACATGCACAGACATGAGTATGCCTATTTCTACAGAAATTAAAGACAAACTATATAGAGAGTTTTACTATACTTATGTTTATTTCATGAAATAACATTAAGAATAATCAATTTCATTCCATCATGAACTCATTTTAATATGAATATATCATAGTTTAAATGACGAAATTAATTCTGATTTGTAGGAGTCAGTCATCATCAGCACATTTTTTTGTTCCTTTTACTTCTCCTGTATGCAGCTGTTGATCGAGTTCTTTTTTAGTTTTATCTTCTAAAGCCCGAATATCAGCCATGGTCAATCCAAACCATTCATCTGTCCAACAAAAAACTTCCCTATGAAAATTAGTAAAAATCCTTCTTTCACCTTTTTGAATAAATTTTTCAACCTTACTTTGTAATCCCCACCATTTAAATTCAACAGTTACGAGTTTGTAACAACACATGACTGGTTGACAGGTTTTATCCCAAGAATATCCTGCTAGTGGACCTCGTCCAGTTTTTACTGACTTGTACATAGAAGGATTTATATCAGGTTTCCGATCTGCTGGATCGACAGCATCATTGGCAATATCAATTTTAATAACTTCTCGTTTACTCAAAGTTTCTTTATCCAAGCCATGAGCATTCTGAGTATCACCCCTGTCAGGGAGATGAATAGACTCAATTTTTATAAAAAAATTATCTTTCATATACTCTGGATTAGTTACTATAGTACGACAATACGGAAATGCATTCCAGGCTTCCTCTCTAACTTCTAAAGAACCTTTTGGGGCTAGCCATCGAAGATAATTAGGAACTTTGCTGGCTAAATGATAAATTTTCAAAGTATATTGTCCTTCAGTGTAGCGACCATTACAAAGTGGATATTTCGGCTGGACACCTTCTGTCGCAGAAAACGGTTCGTTCTTTAATACTTCAATTCCTTCACCCCCACCAGTTTCATTTTTGCTGGCGTGAGCCACAGAGTACAGTTGTGCCACCTGATACTCATCTACCGTCATTGGTAGAACAATACGAAACTCTTTAATTAACATTTTGCAATAAATTAAATAAAACAAAGCAGAAAAAAGAATCACGAAATCAGATTTACTTCTTTTTTATTAGTAATTAATGCAGCAGTTCCGATAACTACTAAACACCTAAACAAACATTACAAATTACTTCATTTTATAGATTTGTCACATGATAAAAATTAAACCTGGCTCAGCTGAATAAAATTATTTGGTGAATTAAATATATTTATAAATCAATTCATTAACCTCCTAATTAAGATTTTTATTTGCTGGCTCGTAAAAAATGACATATATATTATCAAACTATAATAAAATTTGATTATCAAAAATAATTATTATTATATTATTAATTTAACAAATCACTACTCAATTAACTATCAAGATAATTCCTATCGTAAAAGCCAAAGTTAGTGCGCTACTTACTGTTTTTAGTGCACGAAGATTTGCATATATGTCCTGGTGTGTATATATATGTAAATACAGCCGGGAGTTCCGGAAGAGCTTCAAATGTCGGGTCCACCGTGTTGACGCAATTCAACAAATCACTTAAGTGCTCGGCTCAGCGTAACACGATTTCCTCAAAATTGTTGATCACTGCAAGACCATCTTTTGACTTGACTGGATGAACAGAGTGCTGGGCCAGACTTGAGAGAGTCGTAAAATCTTTACGTATTTTTGTATCCACTAATCCCTGTATTTCCCTAGTTTTGTTTATCCACCAATCGTTTTCCAAGCAACGCAGCACATGCCAAACCTTTGTACGTGATTCTTTCCATGCAAGATTAAGACTGGGTGAGTCTGGATTGCAGAGCCTGTTTTTGTGAGCTTTATTTTTTGTTTGCAAAAGATCAAGAATACCAGGTCGATTCTCATCAAACCAGTCCTGATGCTTTCTTGCGGAAAATCCAACAAACTTCGTAGCTGTTGACAGTTTGCAGGAGCTGATTATTGACCATTCATCGGTCACTGAAGGTACACCAGATACAGTGGACTGGACATCTTAGTTTCTTGTGTATGTTTGGTGAATGCTTCCTGAAGTTTTTCCCGCACTATCATGTTTTGGTTCAGCCTTTTATCTAGACCCTGTCTAAGAATTGGTGGGGTTGGTTTAATTGCAAATTTGGATACGACAAGACGATGATCAGTTCAACACTCGGCGTTTCTCATAACTTGTGTATGATTGACATCGCGTTGTCTGGTTATGATATAGTGCTTGTGCCAGTGCTTGGACCGTGGGTGCACCCATGTAATCTTTCTCTGCTAGAAAGAGTGCTGGTAATGACTAATCCTAATTCTGCACAAAGATAGAAAAGACATTCCGTTATTGTTTGCGCTTCCCAGACCATGTCTGCCAATGATGCCAGTCTAGACGCTGGTGTTTGCTCAAACCCTTGCGTTGAAATCGCCAATAACAAAATTTTGTCGTTTATATGTATTTTTTGAAAGGTGGTACAAAGACATTCTTTTAACAATTTTTCCGGACAAATACCCCCAAGACATTTACCATCCGGACAAATAACCCCGAGCAAAATAACTCCCCGAGCAAAATACCTCCCGAAAAATTACTCCCCGAACAATTACCCCCTGGGCAAAAACCCCTCAAACTTATGATTATGATTCCCAACAAAAAATATTGACAAAATTGAGTTAAGTTCACAGACAACAAAAATATATATCGTAAAAGATATGGGAAAACTATTATCATTGAAAAAACAAAAAACGTTACTTTTTTTGCATTAGAAAGAAAATTAACAACACCTCAATTTGCCCCTAATAAATTAGAAATTATAATTTATTTGTCTTTAGAGTTTTTATATGGGGGGTGGGTTTAGTCCGGGGAGTATTTGTCGGGGGGTAATTGTTCGTGGGGTATTTGTCCTAGAACCATAAATTATGCTCTATTTCTAAAAAATCGTACATAGCCAATCAATTTTGTCTTTGCTCTAGCAATATGAAAAAAACTTTTTCCCTTATAAATTTAAACCACAACTCTAATATCAGACAAAAAAGTCACTGGTAACTTATTTAATGCCCATTTCACCTCTGCTGACATCTCTCACTCATCCTCTACCATTGACCAACACATAAAATATCTCTCTGATCGCAACTCCCCATCTCTAACCTTTTCTGAAGTTGATTATACTGAATTGCACAATATTGTCTGCTCTTTTAAAAACTCTCACTACCGGTCATGACAATTTCTCTTATTTCATTCTTAAAAATATTCTTCCCAGTATTCGCTCTCCTCTTATCCACCTTATTGACCTCTCTTTAAATTCTGGCATTTCCCTTCCTTCCTTAAGACCTATAAAGTCATTCCACTCTTCAAGAAAGGATGTCAAATGAACCTTAACAATTACTGACCTATTTCACTCATTTCCACAATTTCTAAACTACTCGAAAAAATTGTTTTGTCCAGACTGAACAAATTTCTTGATGATTACACTCTTATGTCTAAATCTCAATATGGTTTCCGGTTGGGCTCACCTACGGAACACGCTGTCCTCGACCTTCTTTGTTTTCGTTGTTGGTTAAGCCGGGTTGGAAGTGAGGTTGTCATTTTTTGTTGTATATTTATTTTTGGTTTATTGATGTCAATTAGGACTGCTTCTGCAATTTTAAGACTACACGAATCTTAAAAT